GGGGAGATGAATTTCAATAATTTTCAATAATTTTTTGGCTAGCTCTATTCGGACTCGAGTCCGCTTAATTTTTTTTTATCTATTCAGACTCGGGTCCGAAAAAAATGTTTTATTTATTGGGACTCTGTTTCTAAGTGAGTTACATAAGTGTAAAGAGGTTAGGGCTACATGATGTATTATATAACTACCGTCTGGGAATTTTACGTAAAACCAGAATTAGAACTAGAATTACCTACTAGGACTGTGTAATTGTGCCAAAAGACTGCACTCTCATTGCCCAATGGCAGTGTCTAAGTAGGCTACATGGTAACCGACAACTCAGGGTCTTTCCATCACCTCTAGCCAACAGATAATTATTTCCACCATCTGTCTTTCCACATGTTTAATTTCATTTTGCTGTGTGTTATAGTTTCTCTGTAATTAATTTAAAATATCTCATCGCACAAAATCGACAGCGGTGGCCTCTCCCCAATTCCTCTTCCCCCAGCAAGCTGAGAGTGCGAGATCGCTGTGCACATTCTCATTGGTCGACATAATTAACTTTGCCCCTGGCAAGGTCAACTCAACTTGGTTGTTCTGTTCATACTAATGATGCCGGGAGGACCAGCTAGATAGATCTAGTAACTGGATATTAAAGCTCACGTCTTGATTGTTATCATTATTTTAAAAAAAATTTCATAAATGATTGAAATATTTAGGAACAACGGTCGCAAGTTGGAACAGACGTCAATGGCGTCATGCTGGACTCAATTCAGAGTCTGAATATAATGTTTGTCTAAATTGGACTCGAATCCGAATAGTCACTTCGTAATTTTTTAGTTCTCTAGAGTTCTAGAATCTAAAAGATTGATCTTTGGAAGATACAAAATTGAAATATAAGGCAAGATGACGGGTGGAAGGGAGGGTGTCAGGGTTTCCTGATGAATTTTGGGAATTCAAGCGGACATGGTTCTTAATAAGTTGTATTGATTGCTGTTGAATTACAGTTGAAATATGTATATTGCCTAAGATGGCAGTCCATTGCCAAGGAGAAGAGCGGTTATCTTAGATAGGTGCACATCTTGGGCAGAACAGATGAAAATGTAGAAAACAAACCTTTCCCTGCTTAGGTCCCTGCCAGAGGCTGTCTCAATCTTGGGACTACCGTAAAGCCCATTAAAAGTTTTCTTTCTTTTGAAAGGAGGCAGAAAGAGGGGTTTCATGGCTGCTGTGATTGTAAAATCAGATGAGGAAGACTGTGTGCAAGGGTAAAACAAACTGAAATGTGTCAGACGAAGAAGACTACTAAATCAATGCAATGCAAAAACAAACAAATATATGATTTGCCACTACTTGGTAATCAAGTGACAGTTCTGTAGCAAGTGCATGTATGACATCCGTTACCTTTTGTGTGTAGCCAAAGGATGGATTAATTGTGGTAGAGACTGTTGGATTTATGAAGGTTCATTTGCTCTCATCAGAAGCTGAAAATTTGTCACCCCCCGGGGCAGTGCCACTGACTGTAGTGTCTTTAGGCCATTCCCAAAAGGGGGGGGGGGGTCATTTCTCGTTCAAGCGTAGAATTGTATATGGGCTGACTCATGTCACGCTAATAACTGTGCCTGATCTACAACGGGGAACTGCTGCTTTTCCTTTCCTGATCCTTACTATTGTTATTTTCCTCTACTTCTTTTGTATGTTTGTCACTCTCTTGTGACCTGCTATTTTGGGGTGCCTTTATAGTCGAAGCAGACCTTGTGCTGTTGAAGCTAGAGAGGTGAGCAGTCTAAGTCTGATTCCCTATAAAGACTTCTCTGTTGACACCCACCCTTTGGCGCTCATGCAGTTGCGAGCGCCGTAAAACCCTCTACTATTAAAATTATTTTTTAAAAAAAGAAGAAAATTTTGTTACCAACTGGTCCACTTAGGTAAACAGTGGGAGGAACCAGTAACCCAGTGCTAGTCAATGAGCAGTTCAGTTATAGGAAGGGCTAACAATCAAGACAGATGAATGGATTTTAAAGGCTTGTTCACAGCATCAGGGGCCGATAAAATTTATGACACTGTGTTGGATGATGAGAGATTAGCGTGGCCAATTCATATTGGACATATTTTTTTAGGGTGTTGGATGACAAAAATATAGCAGCCATGGCTGCATTCAACAGATTGTTGTCTTCAACAGTTCCATTTATAAAAAAAACCCAAGGGGGAAGTGACTGTATGGACAGGTTTGACTCTCTACATATTTTTTTAAAGCTGTGCATAATACAATGCATTTTCTGTCATAATTGCCCAACTTTGCACACCTTAACCTCTCCATCTTTTGATTTTTTATCTTCCACAGAAGTATGCTGAGTTCTTTGTTCAGCTGAACAGAACATGGCACTGAATATGGATAACCTGACTTCTTATAGTTTATGATGACTTAAATATTTGAGACATAAAAGAATAGCAAAAATGTCTAAATACCAGTATAGCAAGTTAGTGATGGAAAAGTATCTGAGGCGTTCATTTTATGATGCTGTTCTTGAGCTTTATGAGACAGCTCAAGGCACTCGCATCATTTCAGTTAGTCTGGAAGGAAATTTGTCTCTGGTGGTGAATAAAGATGAGAATTTCATTATCAAACTGAATGAGGTAGCTCAGAGAGCAGATGATAGGGAAGAGCACCACCAGAAATTCAAAGAGGAGGAAAATAGCTCAGGTGTGAAGTTAGAGGAAGAACTGCCGTACCAGGATCGGTATGTAGTGAAGAAAGAGGAAGAATTTTTTCAAAGCGCCTCCTCCCATCAAAGTTCTTCAAGTCTTGATACTGAAGCAATGATGAATTTTGAGAATGCTACACAGAAAGAGCCTGATAAATTTGCTAGTCAGACCGAGGATATTGGAACTGTAGCCAAGACTGATAATTTTCTAGACATGCAGAAAAACAAGTATATAGAAGGTGTAGATGACAAGGCAGTAGAATATAAAGAAAGCGATTCTTATGACAAGTCCAGTGAAGGAGAAAGTGATTCAGAAGAAGAGGATATTGAGGCTCCCATGATGTACCAAAGTCAGTCTGGAATGTTGGGAGATATGTCTCAGAATGTCACACATGGAAAAGTGGATTCTGAAAACACAGCTAGTGAAGAGATTTGTTTCTTGCCAGTAGGGCAGGTGGATGAGTTTAAGAGGAAGGCTGAGCTGAATGAAATGAATGATCAGGAAGAATCTGACGCGGCTGGGAAAAAGTCACCCCGAAAGAGAAGGAAGACATCCTCTTTGGAAGGAGATGAGGAAGGCATAAAGAATGGAGACAAGGAGAAAAATACTGCATCCGGGACAAGTAGTAGTGATGATGGAAATAACGGTGGACTGCAACTGCTTCCTCATACTGGTGAGTAATAGAGATACAAAAGCAGCCTAGTGATAAAGGGTGTTTTTTAATTTTTTAAATTTTGTACTTTCTGTTTTTAAATACACTCATTGTTGCCTTGTGGGGAAATCGGGCGCTGGTCAAAATAATGAAATCGAAGAAACCAACATTTTCTGCCCAATTGGCAATTTTTACCATTTGTTTTGTTTTTGGCTCAGCATCTTTTTTGTGTCTATTTAAAAACACATTCCTGCTTGAATTTTACTGAAAAATGTTGATCAAAGGCACCAAAAATATAAATTTGCCGTTTCCAAGGACATTACAGTTTAGGTTTGGAAGTCACCAAGCTTGGGTGTCCATTTTCTCACTAATTTTACCTCTGACACTAGGCAACACCCAGTTTTGTAATGACAAATATCTGTGTACAGTAGTCTCTATCTAAACGCACGGTGCTCATGAAGGCTCCTAAGCATGTGTTTACACGGAGCATGAGTTCACATGAACCTTTGCAAAGGGAGGAAGGGACACAGTCATTTCACTGCCTTGATATTCTAGGGCGGTGGAGATCACCTTGGGCCGATAATGTGACGACACGTGACTGTTTTGTGAAGGATTTCCTGACAGGGGTTAAGTATACAAAGGCGTTGAATGGGGGGGGGGGGGGGGGAGAAAGACAGACTCAATGTAATGAATATGCATGATAAAACGTCGGGAACAGATAGCCTTAGAGGAAACTGTTGGTGATAGTCACAGTCATAGAGACGAGGGTCCAGCCATGTGGCTTTCCAAATGACCACCCCGACCGTAAATTCAGTGAGGACATCAGAATCATAGATCTCTGAATTCAGAGAAGCATTTCTTTTGTGATTCATTGAACAAGTACATTATAAGTTCTTCGAGCGCCGCTGATTAGGCTTACTTGGCTAATCTTAACAATCCTATAGAGGCCTGTCTTGTGTTTTACGGCATTCACGCGTGTTGCGCATCAGGCCTAGGTCTAACTAACATTACATGCAGTCACCCAAACATCAGTCAGAAACCTTCTCTCAAAGATGCATTTCCAGCAACCAATAAAAAAATATTTCAGTCTCCCCGCCCCCAACATTTCACCGACCAGCCCTAGACCTATGCGTCTGTGGAAAGTTGGATGTGAAAACGCTGTCCATCACTCTCTTTGTTGGGCGTGAGGGGCACTCTCACCAAACATCCGGTTTCTAGGCTTGTCTTATGCAAGCTGTGCAGGTTGTAGTGAAAACTTCCCCTTGTCAAGCTTAAAACCGGGTGCCCATTACAGCTTGATCGGGCCGGTCCCATCTGTAGTGGGCACCCCATATAACCTGTCAGTGTGTTTTGCGGATTGGAGCGTGCGTTTAGAGGGAGTGACAGTGCGTTTTTACGTCTAAATTATATAGTAAAAAAACCTGTCAGATGACGAAAGTGTGCTCTGAGCGGAGCGTGCTTTTGTATTGCGTGTGTTTAGGCAGAGACTACTGTACTTGTAATCAGGATAGATGGGTATTTTTTTACATCAAAGGCAAGGAAAATTTACAGACTTTAAGATTATACCAATAGCTCCATATATGCCCCAAAATATAACTATTTACTTTCCAGTCATGGACTTCTCTGAATTGATCTTGTATGAAAGTTGTAAAAATGACAAATGCATAAAAAAAATAGTTATACTTTTTTTTAACCAATGGCAGTTCAAACAAAAGAAAAACCGCTTTTGAACATTATTCCTCAAATTGCATTGTTGAAAATTTGGTAAATCAGCTCATGATTTGTCTTGGAAGTTTAAATGTGAAGGTGTTGATTTGATGATGATGTTTGGCTTTAATATCATAATTATACTTTAACAAAATTTTCAGTTCACTGTTTGACTGTTTCTGAACCAAAATAGCTACTCCGGTAAGTTTTAAAAGTTGAGGGGTGCATACATCCATTGTTAGGAATTAGAAAAATATTAATTCATCCTATTTTCTCTCAGCAACTGGTCCCATCATCATAGAGGAGGAAGAGAATGTGTCTGGGACTATGGCAGAGTCACAGGTGGCCCAGCTGGCCATGTTTCAAATGCGAGAACCCAACATGGGCATGTTCCGTCAGCAGGACCTGGAGGAGCTGGCTCGTCAACAGCAGCAGTGGACCATGGTGGCTTACCAACGCAGCATCATGGAGAAGTCTTACCTGCAGCACCAGATGCAGCAGTACCAGCGTGATACTGAGAGACTGCGCTGGGAATATGCTGCGCAACAGCAACGGGAACTGGCACAAACCTCGAGAGAATATTCGTCAGATGAAGCTGAGAAGCTGTACAGACAGGCTGCCCAGTCCCAGAATGCTGCTGCAGAGGCTGCTTTACTAGCTACAACTGCACTGGAACAGGCGAAGAAGAGTGCGAGAGAAGGCGGGGGTGAGGAGCTGGGGACTAGTTCTGAGAAGTTGTCGTCTCAGTATGTTCGTCTTCTTGGAGAGGAACATGGGGCATCTGCTACTCTTGAGGCAGATTATGAGGAAGGTGAGCTTAGGCCTGAGTCGCACACCTGTGTCTTGTGTGGTGGAAAGTTCATGTCCATGGATTTGCTTGTCCGCCACATGGAGAAGCACCGCATCGCCTTTGAGCGTTCCTGTTCTGTGTGCCAGTCAGGCACATTGACAGGTAACATGCTTCTCCTGCATATGGAGGCCTCCCATGGTCCCGAGACCAGCTTCCCACTACCCTCTGCTCCGACTGCTACTGCTAGTTCTACCAGTGCTGCTCCGGCTATCTCTGCTGCTCCCTCCACACCATCGGTCCCAGGGACTATAGCTGATTTTTCGCAGTCCTTTCCAGGAGCTCTTCAAGCTAATTATGCTTCCCATGTTGTGCCTGACGGAGCTTCTGGCATGAAGCTTCCCCAGTTGCCCCAGTCCCCAAAACATGGAGACGACAAAGTGATTATTGAAGCTCATGAAGGTGTCTCTAATTTAGGTGTAAAATCTGAGTCGGAGGAAAGTTATGATTACTCTGGTGCTTCTACATCCAGGGTTGGAGAAGCTGAGGTGGATCCTGAGTCTCTTCAGATGTCGCAAGATAATTTCCTTGGTCTACCATCCCAGTTCTACCCTCTGATTGGCTGTCAAGTTTGTGGGGAGAAGTTTGCTCTGAGTGAGGCCCTTGACCGACATGTTGAAAGTCAACACAAAGATACCATCTGCACATATGCCTGCAAGCCATGTTGCCTCTCGTTTCACTCGCACATGGAGTACAGTAAACACATGACGCGGCACGAGACCTCCTCCACCAACCTCAAGTGCAGCCACTGCCTCAAGTCCTTCAAGTCTGTGAAACAGCTGCGGCTGCACTATGTGGCGGCTCATGCCTGCTGCCACTTCTGCGAGTACTGCCGTGCAGGTTTCCCAGATGCCATGTCGCTGCAGCTTCATGAACAGCTTCACACACTGGACCCAGAGAAGCTGACATTTCGTTGTGACATCTGCAGCAAGGCGTTCTACACACAGTCTCAGTGCAGTGCCCACAAGCGCACTCACAAGGATGAAAAGGCCCATGCCTGTGACTTGTGTGGAAGTGCTTTCTTTAAGCGTGGAGATCTGACAAAACATGTTCGCACTGTTCATTCACCTAGCCGCTTGTTTTCCTGTAAGTTTTGTGGTAAGAAAGGCACTCGTATGGATAATATGAGAAGTCATGTAAGATCACATCATAAAAATATGACACGTGACCAGATCATTAATATGATCGAAGTAATTGAATAACTGCCTATTTTTCTGTTTGAGATAAACATCAGTTTGGTGTTGGTATAAGTAATGATGGAGAGGACAGTTCATGAATGTAGATCTTCTACCATTGAAAGTTGCTTGTAAGGGATAACATGTAAAAAGGGCACTAGTTCATTTAGATTGTGGGATTCCCTTGTGGTCACTGTTGTCATCACAGTACTCTTAATCTTTGTCGTTTCAAATCTTAGATTTTATTTTGAATGTCTTGAAGACTGAATTTTCACTACAATGTTTCTGGTTTATTTAGAGTCTGGACTAGTTCCCAAATTGAAAATTGTCACCTTCAAAGCTGTTTGGAGTGAAATAAGTATTTAGATTGCCACAAAGATCAATTTGATCAATAGTTATATAGTTCCCACCTTCTCTTTATCATTTCACTGTACACAAATATAATGAAATGTAAAAATGTCAGGTTGGACTTTGGATGTTGCTATTTTCTACTTTCATGTTTGATGATGTCTTTCAAATTTTGCTGAGTATCCTAGATTGTATGTCATATTCTGTATCTCACAGATTTTTTTTCCCATCCCTTATTGCTGTAGACTCTTGCCATCAGCGAGTGTAGAACAGTTTTTGATTTTAATGATAATACATAGTGTGCTTTTGTATTTATCATAACTAAACTTTTTGGCAGACTGAAGCCATTATTCATTTGATAATGCTTGAAATTGTCAGTGTATTATATTAGTCGTATGATAGTAACAACAAAAATTTGTTTTTACTAATTAAGACACGATAACATTGCTTTCTCAGCATTACAATGCAGGTGGAGTTAATATTTATGCTCCTTTTGATCATAGTATAAGTCAGCTTTTTTTCTGTCTGATGTGATAAGTGATGGTGCAGTATTTTTCCTCCCATAACTAAGCCCAATCATATTTTTGCATTTCAGCATTTCATATAAGAAAGAGCATAGTGAATTGTAAATACTTGTGACTCCTGAAAATCAAATGATGTTTAGCCACAGTGTTGCTCTGTGATCGATACCTGTAGTTTTTTTTTTCTCCACTGTCTGTGATTGTGATTGGAGGAGGCCTCCGGGTGCTTTGGTTTGATTGATAAAGTTTTGAGCATTGATTGCTTCCATCCTTTGGCTTGTGGTATCCGTGACAATTTAACAGCACATTTATTTACAAGTCCAGTGCTGCACTTGAGGAGGTTGCAATAATGTTGGTGCAATGTATGTGTCCTTCTTTTCATTTGTGGAATGAGCCATGATCAAATTGTAAGTCATTGACATCCTGTTTGTAAATTTTGAGTGATAACAAACTTAAGATAAAACTCCTATATATGTTGATGTTTCTTCTGTGACATGTTTCAGAGGTGGCTGATAAAGTCACATGGTTATTGTTTACACCTATTTAGTTCACATGTTCTCTTTAGCCTTTCTTTTATTTTGAATTCATGTGATTTGTATTCTGATTAGTAGCTTGACAAAAAATTCATCTGATGTGCCACAAAAAGAAAACAAAATTTTGTTTTAAGAAGTGTTTTTACCACCTGAAAGGCTTTCGGTTCAATGGTCTCTCTGGATTTGGGTAGGTAAAGTAGTGTCTGTAAAGGAGTGGGTTGAAAAGATGCTTCTGTTATTTGTTTTTGTGATTGATGACTTGATTATTTCGAACACTTTTGGACAAATCAAGACCTCCAACTTCTTTATAGAAACTTGTTTGAAACAAATGGTAAAGGTACCTTATTTGAGGGAAAGTTGCTTTAAAATGCGGGTGGGCAATGTTTTTAAAAAAAATGAGACTGCATTTCTGGTTTTTATTTTCTCTTTAAAACAAGGGCATTTTTTAAAAATAATCGTTTCATAGCTTGAGCTTGAGTTCTAAAAAAAAGCTATGATACAGCTATGAGAGCGAAATTTGTATGTGGTGCCAGTGGTTGCATTCAGGAATGAGCATGATAACTTTGCATCATTGGAAAATGTTTTTACTTTTATGTGTAGCATAGGTAAAGTCTCTTCCCTTTGCGTGTGCAGAGTTTTTTAAATTTGAAAATTAAGAATGGGTATGATTAAGTAAATGCAAATAAATCATGTATATAATCTAGAGATGGAAAAGGACGACATTATATAATTAGAATGCACTTTTATCATTTAAGCATCAATGTCTCTCAAATCACTAGTATTCCATTGACTGCGAGGGAAATGTTAACGTTTGTCTTCATTTTGAAAAGTAAGCCAAGCCTGCAGAGCTGGCTTTCAATTTGATAGTTTGCAATTGTCTGACTGATTCAAAATAAGCTTTGCCCATTGATCAACATTTTTATTGATCCACATGTGTAAAGCTTATGAACTTCCCAGAAACATCTTTGCGTGTCCCTTTATGATAATTATGTACACAGGTTTTGACTTATTTTTCACAACCCCATTGATGATACACTTCAGCTTTTGTAGAGGTGATACAGCAGTAGCTTTTGTCAATTAGACTTTGGTGAGAAGGATTTTTATGTCGAATCATGTTTAAGAAATTGTGCAAAAAGTCTCTGTATTTGGCAGTAAATGTAGCTTTTGTCAAATTTGTGTGCAGTGCAGAGACCATCAGGTTCAAATCACTTTACTTTGCAAGATCATCTTGAAAATACAGTGGTGTCAACAGCGACCAAGATGGTAACCACCACCTAACAGCAACCTAAATTTGTATAATGGAATTTTCCTAAAAATAATTCCTTTTAAGAGCAACCTTGGCTGCTATAAATTGCCTGACAATTTTTTTTTTATACACCTCAAAAAAACAGTATGAACTCTGAGACTGATCTATAATTTCTGTACATGTGCATCTCTCTTCTCTTGTATATTTACTCACACTCACACTACCTGCTCGGGCCAAATATACACTACTGTCAGCACAGGAGCTTAGTTCACACCTTCTCACCAAGGGTCACCTTCCTTCAGAACAAGAGTATCCTGGCCTAGGAGGTGGGAGGAATCTCGGCCTCTGTGTGTAACATTACTTTGCATGAAAAACTCCCCACTGATCACAGGCAAAAATTAAACTTTTTTACATAAAGGAGGTCCTAATGTGTGTTCACAAACTTCTCTTTCAAGCAGGTTGCCCCCCCCCCACATCCGGGCTAGAAAAACTTGTGGGTTTGGGTATGTCGGAAGAAGGTGGATCCCCCCCTCCCATCTCTTTGAAAATTCAGTTTGCAGCAATCAAGGCTTGATTCCAAAGGGACGTTGCTGTTAGGTGGACACCCCTGTATTGGTTTGTAATTGTACTTATGTTATACATAATGACATAAAATGAGACAATGTTTTGGATTCTTATTGAACATTTTACCATCATCACAACTGTACTGTTGATTCGCTTCACCATATATATGTTTTTACTTTTTTACAACGGAGTTTTTCATTGAAGACAGGTCAGACATAGAAGGGGAGGAAAAGTATTTCCTTTCAGATTGATGATCATGGATTATAAGTAAAAGGCAGATAGTTGAGATGGTCTGGTACCAACATTACATTGTGTACCTGATGTTGTGAATTCCCAACACCATTCAACTTTTATTCTGGAATTGTAGTCTTTTACCTATTAGGTTATTGAGAGATGTTTTTTATTAAATGGTAGGAGTTATAGTGGCAATGGTTTATTTATAAAATTCGTTTGATCCCATAAAAGTATTAAAAGGAAGTGGTCTTTACTTTCTGTTTGGAATGCATGAAAAACATTTTTTTGTAGAAAAGTGTGAGACAGTCCATGTGAAATAAGACATGTTTAATCTACATTTTGTGAAGGCCATACTTATTATCATGTGTTAGTGATGTTGTTCTCACTCAGTTATTTGTGAAATTGATGAGCTTTCCGAAAACAGGTGAAAAATTCTGTGAATTTACGTTATATTAAACATATTGAAAGCAGTAAATTTGACCTGTGTGATTTTTTAAAAGGAAATTAGGGAAAGACACAATATGCAGACTTTTAGGTATATTACTCAGTACAGATGGTGTGGTGTTATTTTCTGCTAGGAATGCTCTATTTTTATTGAAAATATGTTTCAGTCGCTGATTTTGTGGATGGTATTGGTTATTAATAGTTATTTATTTATTGTCTTGCTTTGTGTACCGCTTTGTTGCATGATGAGTTTGATAAAAAATAAGATTGAAAAATCTGTGCACTATGTGCAAATAGAGGCGCTCAGAAGTATTGTTTTATTTTGTACCACATTGGAGAGCTTATTGTGATGGATACTTCGTTAAAACGAAAAGTGGAATTAATACTTAAGTTTTGTTGTGAAATTCTTGATAATGTTTTTGTTTGCTGAATTATGAATTTGCATATTTGAAAAAAAAAAGAATCAATATCAACTGCTCACTGGAACACATCCTCAAAATGAAGGTTTTTGGTCTTGCTAATATTGTTGAAATGTAAGAGACATGATTTCAGATGGGAAGAGGTTACATATGTCTGGACTTTGACTTATGAGCCAATCAGGAGGTGTGGGACCAATCACTTTTTTCTGAGATGGATCTGGATGAAATGTTTCTTGGAACGTGTTCATGTAAAGTTGACATCTTTATTGTTTTGTTGCATTTAGTAGTTGATACGTAGTGGAAATTTATACATTGATTTGTGTGTCGGTTTTGCACGGTGCATTTTGTGTACATATATGTGACTATTCTTTTGCATTAATTGGCCTTTTTTGTGTTATATTTATATTCTGGTGTGATGCAGGATGGTATAGTTAAGCGTTTCTGTGATAGAAAGGCACAAAGATGAGCTTTCAGCGGGCGTGATTCAGTTTAGACAGCAGGTGATGGTGCGGTTCTCCAAGAATTCTAGTGCCTTTGTGTGTATACTACTGCCCGGCTACCACAGACTGCTTTCATCTCTATATAAAAGTATAAATAAGGAAAATGTTGTTTCTGAATGAAACAGGTGCTTCCCAGAGTCCAAGTTTTGTGTCTCTCACACAGTTCTTTCTTCCTCTCTTTCCCTCTCTCTCCTTCCTTTCTTCTTTCTCTCTCTCCTTCCTTCCTTCTTTCTCTCTCTCTCTCTCTCTCTCTCTCTGTCTTTCACTTTCTCTCCTCCCCACCTCTCTCTGTCTCTTTCTGTCAGTCCCACTTTTCCCGGACTTTGTCTCTGCATCCCTCTCTCTCTTTCTTGCTCTGTCTGTCTGTCCCATTTCTCCTAGACATTGTGCTTGTATGTCTTCGGGGGCAAAGAAGAGTTTTCTTGTGATAAGGAATGATTGTTACCCTGCTGAAGCAGCACTGAAAGTTATCAAGCTTCCACCTCTGTCGACAAAGTAGTATGGCTTATTACCTACCTTAGTTTTGTAGTACTCAAAAAGTGCAGACTTGACATAGTTTAAGTCAGGTTAATCTTGCTGCTTAAAATTAAAAGTTGAAAGGGTATGACTTTTCTTTCATACTTCTGTGCTCCGCCATCCAGCCTGAAATGTCAAAAGTAATGAAACATTTAGGAGAGAATACCAAGTAGAATTTGGAAACTTGTTTTAATAAGAAATGCAGAACAGCTGACAAATTTCCATGTTTTTGAGAATCATCCTAGCTTCACCTTTGCCATTGATGAAGCCAGCAGTGTATGTCAGTTGTCTGTTTCTTTGACTAAAGCATCATGTTTCGTAATGTATACTTATAAACCAGGAAAGGTACGAGCTGTGAGCTTTTGATCTGAAAAGTTAATTGTTGGTGAAGGGTACATACACATTATTGCCATACACTATGACGAGTTATGATATAAAGTACTGTTGGAACTTCTTTACGTCTTTGTAGTTTTTGGCTCTTGTCTTGTTTCTCAGCCCTTTGTAGCCATTGTTGTGATGAGGTGCTTCACTTTTTTTCTGCTCCACAACGCACAATGATATTTCTATGTTTAGGTTTTATGTGGAATTCAATTTATCGTAATAAGCTGTATTTTAAAAAAGTCAAAAGGATATGTGAGGTAGTGTGGTGAAATCACGCGCTCGTCAAAATAGGGAAACGAAGTAAACAGCTTTTTTCGCTGAACACGTTTAATGTCCATTTAAAAACATATTTCTTCATGAATTTTACTGGAAAACGTTGATAAAAGGCACAAAAATTGTGAATTTTAGTTTTCCAAGGACTCTTAAGCTATGGAATTCACCATACTTTTGCGACCATTTTCACATCTACACCAAGCGACACCCACCTCCTTCAATTGCAAATATCTTGACTTTTATTCAAGATAGATGGGTATTTTTTACATTGAAAGCAAAACTAATTAACAAGTTTTAAGATGATACCAGTAACTTCACATTCCCTAAAATTGACGAGCGCCTGATTCCACTACGTCGTAACACATTGTAAAACAGGCTTTTTCTCCTTCGCAGAAGGCTCACACAACTTTTCAGTCTCTTCATTGGCTGGCCTCACCATTCTTTGGTATCAATTTGGGATAACTACATGGCTGCACTAGCAGACCAGTCAATTCTGTGTGCCAACTACCATGTTCCCTTTTACAACTACTGTATTTGAACATTATGGCACTTTGTCATTGTTTTAACATCATTATGGCTGATATGTATATATATTTATGGGTGTCAAATGACTGTAGAAAGTTTTTAACAGGACAGAACTTAAGAACTCAGATATTAGTCACTCGTTCAGGAACTCATATATTTGTAGCTCGTTCTTTTGTCTTCCTTGTCATCCCGTTGTTTTGTACAGCTTTGATGTCAAAAGAAGTTTTTGAACTCATAAAGACTACATGGAAGGATGTTGTGACTCATAATAAAACTATGACATTATGTTGTGACTCAGCTGACAGCAATATTGCGCCATGTACACCTTACAATGTCAGATTTGTGCTTTATGATAACATCTGAGAGATGCGTAGAGCTGTATGAGATTGAAATGCTTGCACAAGAGACCTTTTTTTCAGCCAAGAGATTCAAAGGGTACTCTTCTTGTTGTTGAAGTCTTGTAATTCCTTTCAGTAGTCTTGAGTTGGGTTTTTTTTTTCCTTTTTGAATACAGGGATATGTTCTTTATTTTAAGCTGCAAAAATTATACAGGATAATGTATGAATTGAAAACTTTAAACCTCTTACTCTGAAGGTAAGGGAACTCCTTGTCACTTGACCATTGTGATTGTGTTTCAGTGGTCAAATGTCTAGGTATCGGCTTATCTTATAGTGTGTGGGATATTGTTGTGAAAAGTGAACTGTGAAATTCATCTCTCAGGTTTGTGACGGAACCAATTGTTGGTCTGTATCTGTTGAAAACATTCTAATTGTATAACAAAATCTATCTTAAGTAAATAAATTAATTGAGCCTAGGTCTATTTTGTACTTTGATCATGTTTCATTGGACAGTTTTATGGTTTCTGAATTTTTTTGGAAACCACCAATACAGTATCCAATGGTGACATGGCCAATGTTTATGTTAGATCTTAATCTCTTTTTTGCTTATCCTTTGGTAATAAATGATAAGAATGAAAAAAAAAATCTGTGATAAATATGACTTCGCTGTGACTCAGAAATATGCTGCTGGGAGCAGTCATGTGATCTGTTGGGTTTTACCCTTGAGCGCTTTCATGGCTGAAGCATTCAGTCTTTCAGTGTTCTTTTTAATCTGAGGTGCATTTCCCTCTGTCCTAATCCCTAATCTTTTTATCTGTCTCTTTCTCTCTCTCTCTCCCCCCTCCCCCCCTCTCTCTCTTTCTCTCTCTCTCTCAACAGTGGCCACATATTATCCTCGTTTCTGTACATATGAAAAGTAACTCATAAGGTGAAGTGTTTTTGAATGATATGTACAAATAAGGTTGATGTGCTGGCTAGGGGTTCTTTGTTTTGTTGGCAAAGAACAGTGCTGGTCTAGTTCCTAGGTTCATCAGTCAGCTTCAGACATTCGATAGTACCCGATGATGCTAGAGGTGAGCTCATACCTAGCATGATACGTATGAGGGAGGAGAGAGTTTTGATGATATGAATGAATCTCCTGATTTTCCTGTACATACATACATGTGGTCTTTTCAGAATGTTTGTAAAGAAAGAGATATCACTGGTAACTGAAAGCATCTAAGTCTAAGGATACCAGTGTTTATGTCATTCTTAGGTGTACATTTTTGTTTCAGGATTTGACTAGGATGAATTGAAAAGTGAAATCCCAGGTCAGGTGTAAGTAAACTCTCTTTCAGATTTTTTGGGGGTTTTTTGTGTGTCTACTGTATAGTATTGTTCTCAAATTTGGAATAAGTTTTCAGAACATATTGTTGGCTGTCTTAGACAATCTTTTGTTATGGAGTTAAAATATGGTTGTGCTGAAGGCCCTGTGCAATCGTATAGGTAGGTAAAATGAAGTGCATCATCATCTAAAACTCTGTTTTCGGGGATAACTGGTTAAAGTTTTGTTCTTTTATTTTATGTAAAGGGGTCTGTTTTGTTATTCCTCCTCCTGGCATGTGCAGTCAACTTTATGAGCATATCTTTTTAACTGTCCCTAGTGCCATCATACTTTTGTGTTGGCCACTTTGCATCTATAACTTTGGTACGGCATATTTGACAATGAAATGATTTACTGTTGAGTTAAGACAAGGAATTTTCGAGATCATGATCTCGTACCTAAACAACGTGATGTTCAGTGGGTTGATGTGCACATACTTTCCCATTGAAGCCAGGAAGCTTGGAGATCATGGTCTCATGCGTAGCGAAAAAATGCAATGCTGTTCAGTGGAGTGAATATTCATGAGAACGACTGTTCTGTTCTTGGACAGAATAACAGCATAAGATGTATGTCCTTGGAAGTTTTGGAAGTCTGTTCTTGGGGTGGAATCTCTTGAGCATAATTAAGCACATTATAGCTTCATATTGTGATGAAGACAGGTTGTCACACACTTGTGATACGTATAGTTCCCCTTGGATTGTCCTCAGAAATTCTACTGTTGTCTCATGGCTTTCTATGAAGTATGTCTTTCAGGCCACGTACTAATCCCATGCCTCGTTTTTGGACATGATCAGTTGCATAGTATGAAATGATTTAGTCCAAGTGTTGTGAGACCCATGAGTGTGTGATGCATTGTTACTAAACTGCTAAAGTTGCCCATTCTCTTTGCTGCTCGTCAATTTTTCCTTTGCTGGCTAAACAGTTTTAATACTTCTCATACCTCTAATCCAAACGTTTGTTGTAACTCGTCTTTTTTGCCCACAACACGTCTTTCCATCGGACATCAGCCCCTTCGAAATGTCAAAATTTTACTTATATGTGTTTGACCTTCTGTGTATATGCTTGGTCTTCTACTATTAGTATCTTTCTGCTCTGTAAGCTTTAGATTTGACTGCTTCTGCCCGTGTAGTAGAGTTATCTCAAGTCCGTTCAGAATTTTTCGAGACCTCAGTGTAGAGCTTGTCACTAACTGCTGGCCTAGGTGAAAAAAGCTCTACTGACACTGACAGCACGTTTTAAATGATTTGAAGAAAGGGCCTTTTGACCCCGGGCCCATATACAAAGTAAATTTTACTAGCAATATAGTTCATATCTGCTCGATCTGGTCATGGACTTTTTCACTGATACCTGTCCAGTGCTGTGTTTCAGTATTGTTTTTTTGCAAATGTTTTGATTTTTTATATATGAACTAAATGATGTCTTTCAGCCCGTGAAACAGCGCTTCAGAACAATTGTTCTGTGCTTTGCCTTTGATCATTGGAAATTGTCATGATTATTATCATCATCATTATTATAATTATAACATTGTCTTGTATGTAAACACAGCAATATTTTCCTGTTTCCAAAATTCTCCAGCCCCTGTGGACTTTTAAGCTAGTCTTCCCATCTGTTAAAGTCTGTTAAAAAAACCCAATACAAAACTTGCTGTCGGATTAGTGATGGTCAATGTTATGTCTATTTGGTATACGCAAAGCTTGCATTTATAAAAGAGCCCGCATATACATGCATATTACCAAAGAACTCATGTTTGGCTAGTGGAAGAAAAATGCTTTTTATATGAAACTTGTGATTTTTTAAAGGGTGGGATTGGTTGTTAAAAATATAAAAAAGAGCTTTGATAAATCTTACATAACAGATATTTTTCCTACTTTTTATATTTAGTTGATTTTGAAAGTTTTGGTCCCTTTTTTGCACACATTATTTTCTTTTTAAAGTTTTGAAACTAGTAAAAGTAAAGTGTTTTGTATTACTGATTTGGAAGTTTGTGACAGCTCCAAATTATTGATACTTCAAAATGTCATATGGAACATCATGATCAGGTTTTTTTTAACATTCTATGGATATGTTTTGACATCCAGTCAGCTCTTAATAATTGCTGTATGTTTGGTCTAAACAAAATGTTGGCATTGTCATTTTAAAATAGGTGTATACTTGCTTTCTAGCTGTCACGTATTGTACTACTGTAGATGTTATAACAGCGCGCATTTTTCTTCTTCCTGTGCTGCATGAAATAAAGAAATCAAAGATACTGACGTAGTTGGCTTTGTTTCCTGTTCTTTATGTATGAATGCCAGACACTCCCATTTTCCTCTCAGGGTTTCTGTCACCCTAATCTATTCTGTGAACTCTTCTGTGCCGACTCACTGTAAACTACAACTCCATAAGGACATTTTTAGGATATTTTGTTAAGATCAAATAGTTGGCATTGTCTGTCTCTAAAAGTGAGTCAAGATTTAAGCCCTGTTGAGCACTATAAGTCATTATGGCCATTTTAGAGGCATAGGAACTCTGCACGAGATTTGAGAGGATTAATTCATAGGTCCAAATATAAGAGTATATAAGGATTTATTTCACCGGAAGTGCAACGCTAAAACAACTCCATGTATGGTATAAAACTTTTTCCATGGTGATTTAACAAAAAAATCAAAAATGAAACTACAATCAAGGAGTAACTGACACCGAAAGCATAAATAATAATTTTTTATTTGTTGAAAAAGTAGTTTTCAGCAGTACAAGTACAGTACTCTAAAGACAGAATAAGTTATAATTGTGAGCTTGTACAGATTTCCGGTAAATACAGTTTTGTAATTATTACAAACCTTCATAACTCATAGCAATGTGAATTTGGTAGACATTCTGGTTTCAATTACACAGGTACCAGCTACAATACTACTTGCATGCACTATAAATGACTTCTTACATCATCAAAAATTCAGAAATAGTGCTTTTGACAGTAAAAAAAAATATAGTGCAATTATTCTGTTTTGAGACTTATTCTGGCAATACGTTTTGTTATAACAATACAGATGTTAACCAAGTGTCATCGCAACCTTACTGTGACAAGAATATATATCACAGAGTTCAGCTCAACATATATGCATATAATATATATTGTATACATTCTTTTTCGGTTAGTGCGCTGGTCTCCAAAGCGGAAAGTACGGGTTCGAGCATGGGTTCGGACACAGATTTTTTTCCGCCCCCTCCTGCCCACCCAGCAGTAATGGGTACCTGACTTTGAGTTGGGGAAGTAGAGGTGGCATGGAAAGGAAATGGCCACTCTACCACAATATGCCGAAGGCCCAGGAAGTCGTCTCACTAGCAAGGCAATCCCCAATGTATGGATCGGATGCAGGAACAACTATTTTACATTCTTTTAGCAAAACAAATATTTCATCTGCACTGCTTTTAAAGAATAATACATGAGCAAGTAACAAATCACTTTTATTTTTTCTTCTGGATTTCAGAAACGCAAAGAGTATTCTTTAGGTTTCTCAATACGCATGGAAAAATATAATAAGTAGTCAAAGACAGTTACAATTTTGCATGAGTTGAGAATTTATAAAGACTTCAAATACAGTTATAAAATGCAGCATATAATTTCTATAGAATGACTGAGAAGCAGAAATAAATTCTATTCAAATGTAGTAATTTCTGCTTTAAAAATTCATTTTTCACAGTTGCATTATGATTCCTACTCAGCTTAGCGCATACTTCTTGTAGTCAAATTGAAACTAGGTACCATTATTTAAAAACCTGTCCTGAATGTTACATTCGTTAAATTTTAGTTGTGTCTTTAGGCCATTCCCAAAGGGGGTACATTTCTCGTTCATGCACTGTAGAACTGTAAATGGGCTGATTCATCATGTCACGCTCATATTCATAATAGTACAACAGGGAACTGCTGCTTTTTCTCTCCTAATCCTTACTATTGTCATTTTCCTCTACTTCTTTTGTATGTTTGTCACACTCTTGCGACCTGCTATTTCCGGGGTGCCTTGATAGTCGAAGCAGACTTTGTGCTGTTGAAGCTAGAGAGGTGAGCAGAGTAAGTCTGATTCCCTGTAAAGACTTCTCTGTTGACATCCACCCCTTGGCGCTCATATGACCTTATGCAGTTGCGAACGCCGTAAAACCCTCTACTAAAACTAAAACGTTAAATTTTACAGAGGCTCTTGAAAAACTATTTTTGCTGTAACCAGTAGACTTAAATTTACTCCCACCTCTCCTAGTTATTTTGGACTGTCAATCCTCTAGCTCTGGCACTGGGTGAGGTATGCATGTCCATGTAAAATAAATAATACTGAAAGAGCAGATTATTACATATACATGGGTATAACTTTCACTTTCAATGAACTTAGGCCACCTTCATGTAAATGCAGCAAACTGCTGGTGTTCAAGAGTTTAATATCCATGAGGTACCAGGAGAACTACAGAGTATAGATAAATATATTTTACAGCTTTGGTGTACTCACTCTAAACTGGTCCAGTACATACAACATCAAAGCAAGAGGAAGGTAATAAATCTTACTTTCAAAGTAATAAATTTTAGCAATTAGAGACAATAAAACAGTAGGCGTAACTAAATGTGTGTATGCCTGAGTAAAAGACCCATCCTGGGAAGCAAGGTCAAACTTGACGCTGACCTGATACCATGCTTGGCCTACCCTTGATAAGCATAGCCGCAAGTAGTGCTGCTGGAATGTAAACAGCTCTATTAAAACATACAACAATTTTTGGTGTAAACTAGAAGGCGCTCAGAATGTTCAAATACAGCTTGCTAGGGATTTTGTAGAAATAAAACCTACCAGACTGTGTCAAAAAAGGTCACTCAAAAATAGGTCCATTTGAGCCATTTTTTAATCTCCAGATTTTCTTTCTAGACCCTCCTTAAATAACCACATTTTTATACTAATTACAAATAAAACTGAGCTAAATTCTTTGAGAACATGATTTAGGAATAGTTACTCTTTGATTCTCTGCTAGAAAGAACTACATTTCTGACCTGTGGTCATTTTTACACCTTTGTAGACCTCTAGCCCGAAACTTGACTTTTCCCGTTTCTCAGGCATCCACACAAATAATGAGAGAAAAAAAAGGGGCTCACACAAAATTGTCCTTCCTTAGTGGTTTACATTTATCTTACTGCTTGAAAAGGAACTGCTTTATGGGTGTGCAATGGGGGAAACCCTTCCCCAAGTCTCTATTTACATTGATAATTTATGATATTATTTCAGGCCTATGATATTTGTGCGTTCCAAAAATCAACCAAACATTGGTTGAAATCACTATACATTTGATTTTACAGGCAATCCACATAACTTGATAGAGCAACATGGTGTACTTTTAAAACTCTTAGAAACTTCACCTCTTGAGCCTACTAACACTTTTACAGTTACAGACCCCTGCTCCTGGGTTCCTGAACCTAAAACAGTAGCATCTTCCTCTCTCATTATAAACCCATTTGCAAAAACATTTTAAATGGCAAAGGCAGCAGCAAAATGGGAAGGCAACATCACTTTGAAACCTATCCAAAAATCTTCATAAAAAATTCTTAGACCAGCCTGTTAGTATTACTAGTCTAAACCATAGACATTCCCAGCCGCATACACACTCTTTAACACTTGGCTTGCTATGCCTACCTGCCCTATGCCTCTATGAATATCAGGTTTGGACCTGCAACTTTTCGTACTGCTACTTTTTTAAACCACTGAACTTGCTTTCCCAGTCACTGACGCCATATTTAAGGAAACTAGCCTCATCATCATCTCAATTACATAGCTGATCCATCACTTGATCAGTTGTCAAAAAAAAGTGTTGGTTTTTGTCTGATTCTCCAGAGGATCATGGTTCAGAAACAGTCAGTCAGTTTCATGTTGAAAATTCTCACTCAAACAGTGACCAAACTACGTTAATAGAGGCTGCTGTCTATAGAATGACGTTTATACCACGTGCTATCAAAGTCTGAAGCTCAATTCTGTGACCTCAATAACAAAAACTCCCTGAGGGGCACACTTAGTACCCAGTTAAGCAAGGTGCCTAAATGTATACACTGCACTTGGGGCCTTGGGGTTAAGCATCATTTCAAGATTAGGATCACAGTGAATCTCCTGGGACAAAAATGAAAATCTGACTGAGGGAATACTATGTTTTTATCTGCATGACTAATGAGTGCCTTTAAAGGCCAAGAAATTAGACTGTGAAATCAACCCAGCTATCCTTACTACTCACCCAGTCATTGTTAAGAGCTATTCACGCAATACTAAGCACACAGGTTTACACAGACCAAAACAATCTCCAAACAGCAAATTCAATGTTGTCTCCACTTTTCTACTATGAGGAAAGTTAATGACAATTTTACTTCTATAAAGAGTCAATAGTCTAAATTACATCTTTCAACCAACAAAGATTATTAAGCCTTTAAAGAGTCTACATTGAAATTTAGTACAGAGAACAGAAATAAGAAATCTTTTGCTGAAACTGTACAAGTAAGTCATGAAGTCTTATAAACCACAGCCGGACACAGGTATACATTCAAAACAGTTACTCTAACATTCTTGTTTACAGACATCTCGTCTCGCTGTCTCCCCTTGCCCTGAGAGCAGCTGTGTGTCATGAGCTCTGGTCCGAGTGAGCGCCCTGTCCATCGCCTTGCTCCTCACTGTTTGTCTTCACTAGTTTCTTCAGTCGATTCAAGTGCACCAATGCCCTTGATGAACAATAAAAAGAAGACCGTTGATTCATTTATTTTGAAAACGTCTGAAATTTAGTTTAACAAGAAAGAACCCCCCCCCCTCCCCCCAATCCCTCCCTATCTCAAACATGCATAATGACATACTCTCAGTTGAAGTCAGCACACATGACAGCCACTAACAGTAAACAGGGCTACTATAATAACCATCTCCCTATAAGACTATAAACCATTATTTTTACGACACCTCCCCCCCATGAGACTGTTGAGCCACAACCTGTATGAGACAGGACAAAAAGACTTTACCAGTGCTCCTACACACCATTATCAGAGCTACCATTCTCCATCTCAAAACAGATACTGATAACATACTCTACGGGACAATATAGCAGCAATTTTTAAAAAACCTCTTCAGTTCAAGGTGAAAGTCCGCCCTTGGCCACCCAGTTTTAACAGTACCAAAAAAGAAAAACGACACTGATACAAAAGAAAATTGAAAACATGAAATAAACAACCATATATTTTATAAAAACATGACAAAGTTCTACACACTGGTATCTAAGATTTGCTGAAAATAGACTTTTAAGTTGAGGAGTCCAGGGTAACGACCTTGACACTACATATTTTCATCCCAAATGAAACAGCATTTGATACAAATGATTTTGAATATTTTTGACAGATCAGATTTACCTCCAATTGCCAACAACTCGGCAATAAAAGTATAAGAATCCCCAGCTACTATTATCTCATTCTAGAACAAAGCAAAGATACACTTGGTCAAGCCATTTCTAGAAAACTACTCACAGTTAAGCTAAACAATTTCTCTTGAATTTCTTTCCCTTAAAAAAATTGTATCTTGATCTTGTGTTGTTTACAGCTAGTCAGCATGATAAATGGCCACTCACCAACAGGAATTTATTTAAGACAAAAGTGATTGTGACAAGATAACAGAGTAGAGCCAAGCACCTTCTGACCAACCATACCGTATTTTGTGTGTTCATTAGTTTTTGTCACAAAGGGCACTGCTGTGCTACCATAGAGAGCAGATGTGAATGGAACACTCACTTTTCTAAAGAATGTCCCCCTGGCTCCATTTTGAAGTCATATCCCTGCAGAGCTGGAATCATGGCCATGCCGGCCGATGACTGACTCTCCTGGCTCTGATCCAGGGCCACCTTGTCCTGCTGGGAGAGAAGGAAAGAAGATCCAGCCATGGTCTTCAAAATCTTTGGTATAAATGAAACTGATACCCTCAAAACTGGGGTTATTTCATAAAAGCAAGCACAGCTCACAATGGGCTTTCATTACAACAGCCAACCCTAAAGAAAACACACACAAAAATATAATTGACAAGAACATAAGCAACAGTATCCTGATATTAACAAAAAGCCTGAAAGTATGAAATATTTTGCCATTATTTTCTTTTTCCATAAAGCAGACCTGAAGGAAGAAAGGTGAATATATGTTGTCATCAGATTATAATTATGACTTTTCGAGAAAAGTGGAATCTGAGGGGAATAGGGATTACAAAAGGTTGGATCTCAAATGAAGCACCTGTGGAAATATACAACAGTTCCCATGTAGGCTGCTGAAAATGACTTTCATCTGCAAACTTTTTTTAAAAAATTGAAGAAAGGGGTTCTGGTTGCTGTCTTAGTAAACAATATATATACTCCGTCACTATTCAAAAATCTGTTGATCTAAAGAGACACTGAGAGCTAATGATCTAATCTTGGTGTCTATGAGTAAAAAATGAAGGGAAAAATTAGTGTTGGCCTTGAAATCTTTATACATTATTAGTATCAGAACAAATATTGATAAAGCCACAGGCAAAGATTGGATGAATATATTTTCTTCCCTACATTTTGATAAAATTGGGACAGTCTCAATAACCCAACAGAAATTACTGGGAGGCAAATGTATGCTATATAAACAAAAAGTACACTACAAAAACACTCTATCAATAAACCAAGAGGAATTTATGCCTCTTTCCAGTTTGTCCTGGCTTTGCAGGATAACACAACTGATCAAAGAAGAGATTTAAGAGTAAATGTTCCAGGCATAAAGAAATATACATGTACCCACCACAGTTGTCCCTTCCTGATTGGAAGTCTCCTCAGCTTGCAGCTTGAAGAGCATGTTCTTCAACGCTTCCATACTGCCTGGCTGTTTGCCACCGGACAACGTGTTGTCAATTCCCTGTGGGAGTAAGGGAGAAGTGAGCTACACAAGGGCAGGAGTAGTAAGAATCCCAGTCACACTCAGCCAGGAGAAACTTGGCTCTAGACAGATCCCTTTCTAAGGACAATCCATTACATGTTTCCACCCATCCATGGAAAACATTTTAAGTAGTTACCCGAGTTACAGGGGTGCATCTGAACTTTAAAAAAGAATTTATTCAGACGTTTTTAGATGGTCCCTCCGAAGAATGCTAACATCACTTCACAGTATAGAACAACTGTTCCCAATAACTACTCACTCAAAAACAATTCTTCTAGTGCTGCTTGGTTAATCTTTAAAACATTTTTTGCCGTTCCTGTTACAATATTATCAGTAACCAACATTATATTAAGCACTTATTTATTTTGGAGTATATAAAAACAAAAATGAGCAGACATGCTATTGAATATTAAAGTTGTTTTTTTTTTGGGGGGGGGGGGGGGGGGGGTTCCAAAGGGTAAACAAAATTATAAATTATAATACAAAAAAACATTTTAAAATGGCAGGTATTTTCTCTTTACCTCGGTGCTAAATGGAATCATAGAGTTATTTTACAGAAGTTCGCTTACTTCTAGGATAGAACTACATCTACACACAATGTGGAGCCTTATGTTTTACTACTAGATTTTACGCAATAACTTTTTTTGTTTAGAAGAACATCAAAAGAGAATATGAAAGGGCACCTGACAATCTTCTACCTTACCTTAGCTGGAGAAGCACGATTAGAGAGGGACTTTCCCAGGCAGTCAGCATCATCCACAGGCACTGGTGCTTTGCTAGAAAAGGAAAACATTACATAAATAATATAGAGTGAATAAAAATTGCTTCAACATATGCCGATAATCACAAAATGTTAGGAAGACAACTGATGAAAGGTAAAAGGCGGACTTTATTCGCACACCCTCCAAACCCGCCAATTACATGCACTCACATGCTGAGTCAAACTTTTCTAAAAACTGAATGCTTCCCAGGAAGCTAAGAATGTTTCTGAGTGTTCTACGGTCTTCTGGGGTAATAGTATAGTGTAAAGCGCATAGAGCTTGCTGATGAGCGGAGATATGCGCTATACAAAGGCTATTTATTGTTATTATTATTATTATTAAAACAGTATCATGGCATCCTGTGAAATGGTTTTATTTACCGAAATTCAACAAATATATATCGACAGAAGTTGTCACCTGACAGAAATAACCGGATGCTGTGTTTTTAAGCAAAAATATTTAGAATAGAATGCTGGAGTTATTATGATAGTTCAATCTGTTTAAGTCTGTATGAAAAGAAAGACACCATTTATCACTATAATTTATAAGTGTAAGAATATTGTACCAGAGAGACACAAAACATGCCCCAAACCCCCATCCCAACACATTACGGCAGTGGGCTGACAAGAAATACTTGAGACCTTTCAAGAAAGATGACAATAGTAGTAGTAATAATTTTTTAAAACACGAACACTGCCTACCACAGTGGTAGGCAAAACGAGCAGGACTCACAACGTGCTGGTGACTCGCTCCCAAGGCCTGTCGCCATCTAACCCATCAGAAGAGTCTTGGTCATGGCCATTAGTCATCACTGGACTTCCTGCTGGGTTCACCGGGGAGACAGTTGGGGATGTGGAAAAACTCTTGCTTGCTGGAAAAATTCAATACAGAAGTTGTGACATATTGTTGCTCAATAATTTCTCTGGAGCATGAAATATGGCCACATTGAAGAGTGTCTGATTTGACATAAATATACACAGACACACACATGTTTTTTAAATCAAATCTGAGCAAATTTGATTTTGAACTTCATCAGAGCTTTGGGGGCCCAGAAGTTGAGAAGTTAATGACAGGGTTCAACAAAGTCAATCTCTATCAGTGCGGACAGTTATAAGAAGAGTGACTGCTGCTGTGTGTCTTTGAACAAGACACGTTCAAAAGAGCTCTTCCTTATGGTGCAACATGCTTCATGTTTGACTCTGTTAATGATGGTGCAAAGTGCGATTCTTCTATCAAGAATGAAATTGAAGAACATATCTGAAGATCAGTAATGTCATCTTTCTTTTTTTTCATAATAATGATTTTTAAAAAATCATCTGAAAGAAAATTCAAATTTCAAAATGTTATGAGTACTTCTAAAAGAGAAATAAACAGCAACCAACAGAAATGTAGTCAAATCATGGAGGCCGAGAGCCTATGGATGATTTGGTTTTGCAGCCGTTCCAACAAAGTATGGCTATGCAAGAGGTGAAACCTCCGATGTAATCTCCAATGAGGCTAAACCAATCAGATTGAGAGCCATAAAACTATAAATAACACAGGTTCGAAATCGCCTTGTGAGGGATTCGAACCAGGACAGCCACTGCCTCTCTCCAAAATGATATCAGCGGAGTTAATGTTGAGCCCAAGCTGTTGACATATCAGTAATAAAGAAAACCTTATCTTAATTTCTGACCTGTATTACTAACCAATGAACACTGTTGATTAATTAGTACAATATCACCTCTTTATGTATTACCCGTATTACTGACTTACTAATCTGACTGATTTATCATTGATGTAATATTCACACATTACTGGGGTAGTAAGATCACCCATGTCATTTGACTTGCCCATGTATTTGCATCATCTATGTTAGCTGGACAGTTCATCTTATCAACTTACAAACAGTGTTTTTGCAACAATGACATACACCTATTCCCAAGAATACTGATCTTATGGACTTGTCAGTGTAAAGCAATAACCCATGTCACCTGATTATCTATAATAAAGCCATACCCACATCACTAGGTTCTCCATAATAACACCTCACCCAAAAGAGAAGATTATCCTGAGTAACACAATTCCCATCTAACTAGATAGAGTACCTACATTCTTGACTTACCCATGTTACTGTCTTTGGGAATGGAACTAGCACCAGTGATATCTGCGCGGGACAGTGGTTTGCCAGACAGCAGGGCCAAGGTATCTAAACTTTTGCAGTCACTGCCGGTATCAGAGGAGCTGGAAGAATTATGCTTGCGTTGAAGGTTCTCCGATGAGGACACAAAATTGTCAATAGACTTTTTCAATCTTGCCGTCTGGGGCAGGATATTGTTGCGTAGGAAGGCCTCTCCATTGAAATCACTGTCAAACATTTTACTCGCGGCTGGCCGAGAGAGGGAGGGGTGTAACGGAGTGCTGGTTTGACCTTCAGGTAGAGGTAAGGAATGTGGTTGCTGCTGTCGCTGTCTTGTGCTGCTGTCGTTTTGATCTCTCAGACTCTCGGTGAAGGTCACATGTTTGGAACCTCCATTGGGTGTCTGGGGCAAGCTGGTCATTAAATCTGAGTAGTTCAGCCCAGGTCGAGAGTCAGAGGTCAAGTGACTGACGTCATGGTCACACTGATCTATGTTCAAACCGTCTCTTTTCCTGTTAGTTTTGGGAGTCACTTTTAACACAGAAGGTGACCGAAATTTTCCAGTCACATTAGAAACATCATCCACAGTGATATCAGATTTTTCCACTTCATGAATCCAGCTGGGTACACCATTGGGTCTTTTGTTGTCTTTGTTTTGTAATAAAACTTCGTGTGCCCACAGAGATTCTGAGGCCTCCGAGGGACTGAGCTCACCCACCCAGCTAGGCACAGATTTCTTCACAGAGCAGTCTAGTTGTTCCACCCAGTCTGGTGCTGAGCCAGCAGCAAGCCTCTGTCTCTGACCCGGGGACACAGAGCGGCTCCTGATTCGCCGCAGGATATCCGTCGGGTCTGACTGATTGGACAACGAAGCAGAACTTGAACTGGAAGATCTCTTCAGTCTTGATGACGTATTATGTGATGGTGGAGGCAGTAGACTGTCTATAGAAGGGCGGCGAGTTCGAGCCCTCGATTGATGCGGTGTCCTGTAAGAAACAGGGGCACACAGAGACTGTGATAACAGAGAGGAGTTACTTGATGGGCGTGGGGGGCGTGGCTTGTGAGGAGAATAGGTCGGTCGAGATGGCTTCTCTTCAGCATCCAGCTCAGAGCCATTGAGGGATAGGCTGCTGTCACTCAGAAGAATTTCTGTTGGAATGTCTGTGCTGCTGATCTCACTACCGTTCTCGATACCTTTCCGAGCAGCTGCCATGTTTTCTCTGGTCACTCTCTCTAGCAACTGTGCTGAGCGAGTTAGGGCAGCTTCAACTGACAAGAGGGTACACAAAACATTTTATTTATATAATGAGAACCAAAGACATCATCAACGTCATAACACATGTGTAAGAAGCATTACTAATAACTCAACACTGAAAAAATACACATGTTCTACAAAAATGAAAATTAACAGTATAACGGGTAAGATAGGCAGGGAGGGTATATTATGAAACTATTAATCAAATCTCAGAAAATTTCCTTACAACATCGATAATATATACAGTTCAGAAGATAATATCTCAATCAAGTTGCTAGACAGGATGTAATAGGCATGAATTCTAGCAACACATTAAAAAGAGATATACAAAAAGAAAACAGGATAAGATAAAAATCGAAAAAAGGCAATTGAAATTTACCATGTAAGCAATGTTTTCTACAGCTACCATATCTGAAAGTTAAAAATAGGGGAATCTTCACTGACTTGCAAACAGTCCTAAAAATTCTATAAAGTCTATTTTCATCTAAACTAAGACCTAACAAAGACCAGGCCAGGCTCATTCCATTAAAAACAACCCAGGAAATGATGAAGCTCAGGAAGTTAAATTGTATAAATTTGTTCAGCACAGAAAAATAGATCATCACTGCTACAGGCAGAATGAAGACAGGAAGAAAAGTTTTCAAACACTCAACTAAAATAAAAACAATTTCTAAGAACTATTTGATCATATTTCAGTCTTCAATAAGTTAAAGCGATGGGGAAGAAGGAAGAAAGAAGGAAGAGAAGACAGAGGAGAAGAAGAGAAGATTGAGCCGCGACAAACTCACCCTCCTGCTGCAGTCCTGTCTGGCCCTTGCTCTGAGACTTTAGTGCTGCTTGTTTGAGTAAATGTCTGAGCTTGACCTCTCTCAGAGTATCCGTGACCTCTTCCTGGAGCTTGGGGGACACCTGCAATATTCAGTTGAAGTTTGCAAAGAACAGACTATAATAATCGTTGCACTGAGGAGAAGCAAGAGAAGAAGATCACAGCAGAGTGTCCACCAACTGCCAACAATTTTTGGCATGTAGATTTGTGGAGTTTTCCAATTAGCACAAAAAATGCCAAAACATGCAAGAAATAGTTCCAAGTCAATCACAACACTGAGAGCAAGCAAAAGAGGCAGAAGGCCCATTAAACATTCACAACATACCAGGAATTATAAAGACAAGCAGCTGGTGTTTCAGTATTCAGGAATGTCTTACATACACAATTTGAGCTGGATGTCACAAACAGAATAAGAAAAATAGTTCAAAGGAAAAAAAAGTCCAAAAAGATTGAACTACATTCTAGACCATTTCAAATAGCAAGTAGTACGAAAGGATAAACATATCCTGCGAAACTTTTGTTAAAAGAAAGCAGACTCCCTCATTATAAAACAAATTTACCTTGAACACATTGACTCTTGACTTGCCATTTAGCTTGCATCTTTTTATTGCAAAAAGGTTTATTGAGTGAGAGTATGAAAGACTGCAGTTATGTCCAGTATGTTATTACAAGAAGATCAGTTTGGTTTTGATTGTGGAAAATATAAAGTACCTTGAACCACAAATGGAATGAATGAACTTTAAACATTGTCACCATTGCCACTATCAATCATTACCTTGGAGGTGAGCAAATCCTCAACATCCTCCTTGGCTCCAGCAACCTTGAGGCCGTTGGTCCCCACCAGCAGTCCCGAGGCCGCCATACTTTTGGCTGTGGACAGGGGCATGTCCTTTTGATTGCCAGGGACTGGCGGTGGCTTTGTCCGGGGTGACAGGGCCGAGGTAGAGGACAGGAGCCCTGTGACACCTTTGTCTGAGGTAGCTGGACTTGTGTTGACTGAGCAAGTATAACAAAGTGAGAGAAATGTTATAAAACATGTTTGATGGACAGCACAAGTTGCTGAAGGTCTGAGTAAAGCTATTTTTTACAGCTACAAATACTTCAGCATGGATGTAATCATTATGCTTTTACTGTTCTCTATCAAGCCAGGTAAAATCTGTAATCCAATCTGCTTAACACCCAGAGTCTGTGACAAGCCAGAAAAGGGTTGAAGTGCACGAGATCCAAACATACCTAAGGACCAACTGAGATAAATAAATCTCCACCAAAGCCAGGGAACAGAGATGGGAAGATGAGAAAAATGAATTCTTTTGACATGATAAAACTGAATTCTTTGGATATCATAAAGCTGGATTCTTTGGATATCATAAAGCTGAATTCTTTTGATATGTTCATACAGGAAAGCTGATTTTGATATAAGAGAGAGCAGAATTCTTTTGATAAGTTGATACAAGAAGGCTGATTTTGATATAATGGGAGAACAGAATTCTTTTGCTGAAGCCTTGCTCTCCCTGGCGTAAAATTTCAGAGCAATTTATTACAATTATCACAGAGAACGTTACTGCTACGTACCAGGAGAAGTGAAAAGCTTTGTGGGTGACTCTTGCCCATTGTTGCCGACTTCTCCATTTACGGTGCCTTCGAACTGTTGTAGGTAGGCCTGCAGCGCCTCTGAGGCCGAGTCATACCTCCGGCCGCCCACTGCGACCTTGTGTTTGGAGCACTGGATGCGGTGCTGTGGCAGGCAGGCGCTGTCCGTGCTGGAACTTCCGGCGGAGCTGGCCGGTGAGTACGTCCGCACAGCGCTCATCTCTGGGTGGGGAGACTGGGTAGACAGCTGTTGTTGCCGAAGGCCAGGTGGTCTCGAGCGAATGTCGTCTAACAGACCTCAGTTGTAACTCCACTCTTGGGCAAGTCGAATCATTTCAGATGCAGCTCAGTGACACTCGAACCAATTCTTAGAAATACAAAGTTAAACCATTTGCTCTTTGAGAATTTATCTGGTCTTAGTCTTCAGTCACTTTTGTTTGAGGACTGTCAATTCACAGACAGCTACAAGAAGGATTATCTTATAAATATTTACAACAACTGAACACATCAGAATTGAGGTTCAGACTTAGGACACGTGCTTTCCGCATCCAGACCAATTCACAATCCACCCCTCTGCCACCCTGCTATCGTTCAAGAGTGCCCAGAGCTATCGGTACGAGAAAACCGAATCACTGACTGAAACAGCTGTCAACTCGGTTCCGGCCTGCTAACAACAAAAGCAACTGCGGCCTTGAAACGTCTCATCTTTAATTCAAATAAGTGTACAGCGAGGGTCAACGTTCACAATCATATCACAATTCACCATCAGTAGTTCAGGGGTTTGAGTGAGAATCGCCGAGCCAAGGTCCACGTATTACCTGCAAAAAAAAAAAGAAAAAAAGAATGACACTGAAAGAACAGCGTGTAGCTAGGGCTTGGTTACAATTTACGACTAGTATGTGCAATTATAGTCACGTTCGACCAGGAATCAGAACAGTAAACGAAAAACAGAAACGAAGTGAAAGGAGCAAACCATAACAAGAGTCCCTTTCAATCACTGGCTAATTTCTGCCATTAAGGTTTGACAGCGAAAGCGCGGAGGCTTCGCAATCAAGACAATATTCCCAGGACTCGTCCCCCGTTGTCCTGATGAATGTAAGACAGCAGAGAAATATAAACCTTTCCCTTGCACGTATACAACCGCTATAAAAATGCCATTGTGCGCCAGCGTGTTTAATGCCCGGCTACAAGCGTCCAACTCTAGCTAATAACGAGTTTCACAAAAGATCTTATACATGTTGTCATTCCTCAGAAATCGAACATCCATTTCTCTCTACTCTGTACTTGCACCCAAAGCCCCTCGATCTCTTGCAAGTGGTCATTGATGGCGCGGTAGTTTACACGTTCGGTCCCACCGCGCCTGGGAAATCAATCAGCACTCATCGATCTCTGCACGAGATGTGGTGAGTGCAGGTGGACGTCTGATCAAATTTATGAGGCGATACCTGAGACAGATGCTAGAACCACCCTGCCACGGGCTTGGGCTCTGGTGGTAGCGCTAAGCCATGCCATTTCAGTAGCAGGTCGGTATCGGGTGGTTAATTACCCCCCCCTCCTCCTTCTCATCATCATCATAACCATCGCATCTGCAAGCGTTATCAATACCAAAAGGCAACAAAAGCAAAGCCGCTTGGCGTTGAGTAAGAGAGAGAGAGAGAGAGAGAGAGAGAGAGAGAGAGAGAGAGAGAGAGAGAGAGAGAGAGAGAGAATCGCCAAACGGATACCCCTTCCATTTTTCTAACACATAATTATCTCCACCCTTCATAACAGGCTCTCTTTACGGAGAGAGACATCTGACTCTTGACGTCCATTGTCCCCCACAATGAGCAGGGCCGGCGACTTGCCCCTTGTCGGGACCTCCCATGCCATCAGTCAGCGAGCCGTGCCTTCAATTACCATGCAGCACCCACAATCAGCACATTTCCGTAATCGTATCTACCCATATCTACGTGCTGGTTCACAAAGCCGCACGTCCACTGATAGTCTTTCACAGAGGAGAGTATTCGATACCGGTATACTGTGCATTTTCCTGCTTAAGCTCTCATAAGCCCTGCCTTGTATTTCCTTGAGCTGATCACAAAGACCGTGGTAAAGGCGGATAGAGATTTGCTGCTGATAAGTCTAGGGTGGAAGCCAATGCCCCGACGACAAGTGTGCAGTTCCTTTAGTGTCTGAAGACGAAATTCCAGCCTGTACAGAGCTTTGTGATCAGTCCACTTTGCGTTCTTTGTGGTGAACAGCCCCACTACTTATTATACTACGAGATCAGTAGCGACCAAAGGGAATGGTCTCGAACTGAAGTTTGACGTCATCACAGGAACCTGTAAACATGCTTGTTGCCAAAATTTAAGGAAACGGAGACTCCAACATAAAGTAGTAAATACAGTAAAAATATTATGGATCGGCAACGACCGAAAACATATTTTACACAAACGAAATCTTTTGTTCGTTTGTTTGAGTAAAGAGAAGCATGTATATCGACCAACACAGTTATGGTCATTTATCGCTGGGAAAAGGTAAGCCAGCCAGCCAGCCAGACAGCCAGAAACAACAAGCAGTAACAAATCAGTACGTTCAAGGTCGGAGAGCTTGGCGAAGAGGCCAAAGTGAAAAAGAACCTAAAGATTACACAAAAGACAGTTTCTTACGTGTTAAACGAGCATTGAAGTACATGTGTACAAGTTAGGGAATGTGGTGTGGGTGCACTCCCCGATGGTGTGCACTGGAACTATTTGTCTCCCGTAACCTCCTTTTTCAACTCATTGAGAAATGTTTCCAGATATCACAATCACATTTTATTCTATTACAAATTTTGAACCAGATCCAAAGACACAACACAAACTCAATGTGTGACTTGAAGTGTCACTATCCTTATGTATTTCTCCATTAAACTTTACGACAAGATTAAAACATGTTCTTCCCTGGTGTGACACGTTTATTGCTTAAAGTTAAGTTACAGTGGTCACAATTTCCTCCTACTTTACGTGTAACTAAAGCGACAAACGTTGGGGTACCGATGGTCTACTACGATCGCGATGGGAACTTTGACTCAGGGTGCGATATCCGGTTTGGTTTGGTTTACACCCCTACATCACAACGTTTTTTCCACTCACTGTACTCCATAACGCACCCCATGCCCCTCGCTCTGAACTCAAAACCCCTGTGCTACCTGAAAATAACCTATCATAATAATCGTAACAGGCCATAATGAATACTTCACACGGTCGTCGACACACATCCCCGTATTTCCTTATCAACAAAAAGTATCTGGATCTGTCATGCAATTTGAGATAAGAAGGAGTTTATTTATTTACATTTCACAGACATAAGGTAAGAGGCCAAGCTTCGAGTAGGCAAACAAATTTTTTCTAAGCGCATTAATAGCGGCTTATAGATTTTACACGGTCCACCAACTCGTATGGTTTCTTTTTTCTTTTCCGTGGATCGGCGTGCACTGTGTAGGCATTCAACAATCCTTGACACTTGGGCCACCAATGTCTGGAAGGCATCTTTGACAAACACATTCTACTTTTTTTCTGGCTCTCTAGCTTCATTGCTCTACCATTTGACTATCTTGATTTTTCTAGATAATATTTACTGAACTTACACGCCATTTTACGCCTTCTTTTGATTAACAATGATCTACACACCTTTCGAGGTGGACTTATTGTCGTGCAGTGAACATGTAATGTAACATACAAACACTCACTGTTGAATTCAAATCTTATACTTTGTACACAAAGCCAATTGCCGCCTGGATAAAACAAAAGCCTTTGTTAATCCCGAAGAAAAAGCTTTAATATTTACTCACCACAGTATTGAATCCAATCGTAATTCAAAATGTGGATGGGAATGCTGTCGAAAAGAAAATGCATGTACGTATTCGAAACACACACCTTCAGTTGCCGTTCTCTGGCCTGCAAGTTGTCGGAATCTCAAGAACCAACGGTCACAGAATACACAACCTTGCGTCTTTCGTCCTTTTACCGGCCAGTCAGTCACTCGGATCAAACACCCGGCGTACACATTATATTATGGCCCGGCTCGGCTATGCTGAAAGCGGAGAGGGAGGCGGACGGAGCGGTAAGCAAACATACACAACACAAGGCCTTCCTAATCGTTCATAATAAAGTTGTCTTTCGATAGTCGATAGCAACACGTCAAAGAACGGTGCCGGGCTAGGCGCTGACACAGAAAATATGACAATCTCGAGAAGGGGAAGAGAGAGAGAGAGAGAGAGAGAGAGAGAGAGA